TTCTCTTTTTCTCAGCAGTAACTATTCCACTTAGATGTTCAGTGTTTTTATGAAGTTTATAATATTTATGTTTTCTAGACTTAAATCTTTTTATTCTTTTAAAATCAATTTTATTTTCCTTTATTGGTCTTTCGAGAGAATTTTTCCATTGTATTAACGTTCACAAAGAACTTGAAGCGTCTGGCTTTGGTTAACCGTTTCTGTTGTGTTGTTACTCCTACCTCGCCGAATTTGCTTGTCTGACTAGAAGAACAAAGAGTCATAGCAGGTTTCTCTTCAGAAATAGCGCAAAATGTTGATCAGTGGAACGATACCTTGAAGATGATAGGAGGAAACTGTCCATCTAGAACCAGCCGGCCAGAATAGCCTTCAGACATGGTGAGGGCAAAAGACAGACCTTCCCGGACCGTCAGAAGTGGGGAGCATTTGTCAGCAGAACCGCGCTGTACGGGATGCTGAGGGGCGCGGGGGGCGGAGAAGCCCGCGCGTGGGCAGAGGCAGAGGCAGAGCCGTCGCCTCCGCTCCGGGCCCTTGAACGCAGCTGGCTGTCCGCAGCGGTCACAGGAGCGCATCTGGAGGCTTACGACGTGTGTAGAAGTGAAACGTGTGAGGGCAGGTGCCCAGATGTCGGGGGCGCCCCGCTGTCAGTTCGTCCTACACTGCACCGGGCGCGTCTGCAGAGGCCTCGCGAAACCCCGCCTCGCCTCAGGGACGGGGCGTGTAATTAAGGCGTTTCTCACGACAGAGCCTCGAGTTTTATGAAGCACCTGAGAGAGAAAACGGCCCAGTCTTTCTCTTTCAGAAAAGAGAGGAAGGAGCACTTTGCAACCGTTTATGAATCCAACGGTGCGTTTGTCTTAAAATAGTCCAGACAGAGCCTGACGGGGAAACAGACGCAGAAACTCGACCATCAGAGAATCAGGAACAGAAACAAGATGTTTTTCAGAATATTAACTGATTGAATTGTGTACTATGTAAAATGAAAGGCGTCACGAATAATGATGGCTTACCTCAGCCATGCGCGGTCGAGTCAGCGTTAGAAAGTCATACACCGATTCCCACATGGTGACAGCAGACGGGAGGAGAGGGCGTTGTCCCAGCGAGCAGAGGGAAAGCGCCTGGCCAGGCTTGGCACTCATTCACGATGGACTTGCAGCAGGCAGAGCAGAAAGGAACTTCCTCGCTTGGTAAAGGGCATCTGTTTGTAAAAACTCCACAGCTAGTTCTATACTTCACTATGCAAGACGGCTTTCCCCTGAACAGCAGGGACAGGGAGGGTGCCGCTCCCACCACGAGTTAGCCCGGTACTGAGGCACGGATCGCGGGCAGATGCCCCAACTGGTCTTCATCCAGGCTGAAGAGTTACCGTCTTCGAGGACGCGCTGCCGAGAGCCTGGGAAGGCGTCCCCCACGCCGGGAGGCAGCAGTCGCGTGCATCTGGCGTAGGCCCCACTCGTGCCCACGTATGTGAAGAACTTGCTGCTCAGTGAGAACAACCCAATTACTAAAACAGGCCGAATATCTGAAGAGCGTTATGTAAAAGATTTGCAAATGGCCCCTAAGCCCCTGAAAAGACGCTGCATGTCATCAGTCATCAGGCAAGCGCAGGTGGGTCGCAGTGTGATGCCACCTAGAGGCCCGACAGCCAGCGTCGGCATGCCTGGCGGCTCGTCCGTGACCGTCACACCCATCCTGGTCCTTCCCCACCTCAGCTCGAGGACCCCGGTGCTTTTATTAGTGCATTTGTTTTGAGGAGCTGCGTGACAAACACGCGTACCGGGTGCTGGTTAGGCTCCGTTTGCTGTCTAAGCAGGAGGTCGGTCCTGCGGGCCGTGTGCTCTTGCCTTCCTCAGGTTTTGCTTTTTACTCTGCCGTTCAATGGGCGGGCAGCTGGAGGAATCGAGGCCGTTTTCCCTCAGCCTCGCCCGTCTTCCCAGAGGAGCTTCGGTGTTCCGAGGGGCGGCTGCTGGCAGGGGCGGAGAGGACAGGTGGCAAACCCGTTAGCCGCCCCTCTGTGTGCACGTCACCTCCAGGGCCGGAGTGTGAGTTCCTTTCGGCTGGGCGGGCTGTGTTGCTGAGGTGCGCCGGCGGGAGTGCTGACCCAGCTCGGCCCCGCGGTGTGAGCTCCAGCCCGTGGCTCACGATGGCGGGTCCGGAATCAGCTCCCGACATGCTGGGTGAAGAAGCAGCCTCCTTGTTTTATAAAGTGCGAACAGAAGAAAACTCATTAACTTTCTAATTGTCCCCCCGCCTGGACATGCGCGCCCCACGCAGCTATAGCAGTGAACTTGAGCTTGGTAACAACAGTGGCGCTACCCGTCGCTCCCAGGGTGTCCCGGTCACGTCCTCTCCTGGTGACCTGACGCCGTGTTCATCCCTAAGTGTGTAAGGGACCCGTTTGTCACAGGTCATTTATGTTGTCAACATTCAGTGAATTTATGTAAAAATTTATTTTGTATCCTTCCTTAGCTCCTTGGTGTGAGTGACAGATAACTGGAGAAGCTTAGCCCAGGTCAGCCACGACTCTGGTGTGACCGTCATTTTCTGCTTGCTGAAACTGCAGGTTGTAGCCTGTGATCTTATTTCCCTCAAAGAACATCTTACCCATTTCGAGTATCTGAGAAGTCTCTCTCCCCAGGAAAATAAGATGTTTCTCTCGCGTTGATTAATAGGCCCTGTATCCTAACCCTCATTGTTTCTTTTTGGAACATGAGAAGATCTGTGTGTTTCACCTCCTTTATTACACCAGAGGTGCACACATAAGCCCATTCTGCACCTTTTCTCATGTGCTCCTATGTCCACTGTCCTTCCATAGCATGCATTAGTGGCCTCCTCCGTTCGTGTCCCAGCTCTGTGGAAATCATCCGTATTCGTGTTGATGCCCATTGAGTTGCTCCCAGGATCTTTGTTATAAATATTGCTTGCACTCAGAATCATTCATTAGTCATAGGGAAATGCACATCAAAACCACGGTAACTTCCCACTTCGTACCCAGTAGGGTGGCTAAACTAAAAGACAAGCAATAACAGATGTTACTGAGGGTGGGGGGAAATTGGAAGCCTCGTATATTGCTAGTGGAATACAAAATGCTACAGCCACTTTGGAAAACAGCCTGGCAGTTCCTCAAAATGTTAAGTATGGAGTTACCTAAAAATCAAACTACTAGATATAGAGCTAAGAAAATTACATACATCCACTCAAAAACATGAACACAGATATTTACAGTAATATTACCATAATATCCCATAATATGAAACAACTCAGATGTCCATCGCCAGAGGAATGAATGAGTAAAATGTGGTATATCCAGACAATGGAACATGATTCAGCCGTAAAAAGGAATGAAGCCCGACACTGGCCACATCATGATGACCCTTGAAAGCGTTGTGCTCAGTGAAAGGAGCCAACACAAAAGACCACCTGTTGTGTGACTCCGTTGGTGTGAAGTCTCCAGAACAGGCAGATCCTAGAGACAGAAAGTAGGTTAATGGTCGCTAAGGACTGGAGGGTGACGGGGAGGGGAGGGACTACTGGTGGGTGTGGACTTTATTCTTGGGTGATAAAATGTTCTAAAATTAGATCCTGGTGGTGATCACACAGCTTTGTGAATATACTAAAAGCCACCAAATTAAAAGGATGGGTTTTATGGTGTGAGGATTATAATCTCAGCAAAACTTAGAAAAATATAAATGGTACTGCAGTGAATCACCTGCGCAGACATAATTTCATGGGACAGTGTGTATTTTATCTGCGTCCTGGAAGTGGGGTTACTGGTGATATCGCTGCGTGCCACCCAGCTCCCCTCCACGGGAAGGCGCCATTCCACATTTACCCCAGTGTGTTCGGGCGCCTGCTTCCCTGTCTCCTCCCCCACAGTATATGTTCTCAAGCCAGCATTTGCCGTTCTGACAGCTGAGAGCTGGTGGTGTCTCAGTATGATAGTAATTTGCCTTCCTCTCACCATGAACAGGGCTGGGCATGTTCTGATATCTTTAGGATCCACCTGCATTTCTTTTTCTTCTCTGTCATTTCTGTATGTGTATGTATTTCATCCATTTTTATATAGGATTGTTGGTCTTAGTTTTTAAAAGTTCTTTATATATTAAAATAACCCTTTGCCTGTGATATCTTACAGATAATTTTTCCAGTTTTCATTTGCCTTTTTAAAAAATCTCGTCGACCAGCCAGTGTTCTCAGTGAGCGTTGGTCCCATCCACCAAGAAGTTGCCAGTTCAATTCCCGGTCAGGGCACATGCCCAGGTTGCGGGCTCGATCCCCAGTAGGGGGTGTGCAGGAGGCAGCCGATCGATGTTTCTCTCATCCATGTTTCTTTTTTCTTTTTTATATCTTTATTGATTTCAGAGAGAGGAAGGGAGAGGGAGAGAGAGATAGAAACATCAATGATGAGAGAGTCATTGATTGGCTGCCTCCTGCACGCCCCCTGCTGGGGATCGAGCCCACAACCCGGGTATGTGCCCTGACCAGGAATTGAACCCTGATCGCCTCGATCCTAGGTCAGTGCTCAACCTCTGAGCCAGGCGCTGGGCTCTCATCCATGTTTCTGTCCCTCTCTCACTCTCCCTTTCTCTCTCTCTAAAAGTAAATAAATAAATAATCTAGTCAAACCTGTTCCCTGTCGCTTCTGGATTTTGAATCATAGAAAAGCTTTTCCTCTCCCTGGCTTAGGAAGAGAATTCACTTTCTGCTAGTAGTAGTCAACTGTAGTAAGTCAAGACCTCTGGGAGTTTATCCTGGTGAACAGTGTCAGAAAGAATCTGCTTTTACCTTTGTTTATGTGGCTCCCCAGTCACCCCAGCATTTCTGAGGAAGGGGGAGAGGAGAAGTAGCACTCTGTCTACATGCCTGTTAAATATTTCTGGATTGATAATTTTACGAACAGTATAGCGATGCATTAGGAAGTAAAAGAGAGAAGTCCTCCGTGATCTCCGACCATCCCAGACTGTAGCAGAGTGTAAACCGGTGTTCTCCTCTCTCCACAGGTCAACGAGCTGGACGGCATCCCCTTGATCCTGGACAGCTGCGGCCTCGACGACAGCAACCCCTGTATCCTTGCGTGTAAGCCGCCATCCCCCAGGCATCAGTCTGTAGCCAGTGCCTCGGTGTCTCCAGCCCCTTCCCTGCTGTCCCCTTGCTGTGGAGCTGGCCTGCTTTCTTGTTGGCTTGTTCCTAAGAACAAAGCCACTTTCTCAGATGTGGTGTGGTGAGCTGGGATTTTCAAGGTGAACAAGGCATTATAGGGAGAAACGTTGCAGTGACACCTAGCTCTTGTTTTTGTCCTGTGACCCTTTGTGACTGCAGCTGGGGCTCTGACTCTTGCCCTCACTTGAGCTGAAACAAGCCACCTGGGGTGTTCTGCTGGGCACTTGCTTCCCCCAGGAGATGCACTGTAGGAAACGGCCCTGGTGCAGTGACGAGGAGACGGGGAGCCCATGCAGCCTGTTTCGGTTTGAGAGAGAAACTATTTAACTGTTGGGCCTTCCCTGGTGAGAGCCAAACTCAGTGTAGGCCTTGCCCTTCTATGGCGTGGCCTTGTGCTGTTGGCATGTGGGAGGGGCAAATAGGCCTCCTAGGGACTCTGAGAGTAGGACCCTGTGGGGACAGAGAGGAGCCTTCCCTGGGATGGAGGAGACAGAGGAGGAGGGCATTTTAAAATAAAATCCTCCTCACTGTGGTTTCTGTGACGAGCAGAAAAGGAGCCCGTAAGCTCAGCCAGAGAAAGCCAGGCGGCCCTGACGCCTCTCGTTCAGGGTGAGACAAAGCTGCTCGTGCACCGCATCGCGGCGGGGCGCCGGCTGCTCCCCACAGAGCTTCAGTGTTACTCAGCTCTGGGGCAGGAAAGGAGAAAGGACAGAAAGGACAGAGAGAACAGTCAGGTGCAGGTGGGATGAAGGGGATTTATTACAAAAAAGGGAATTCTCCCAGCTTTACTTCTGTATTCCCTGAATTCACTCCTCGTGAGAAAGGTTTGTGTCACTAGCCTGTAGCTTTTAGCAAAGAGCAGACACTCGGGGCTGTTGCTCACGGCGCCCGCCGCCTCCAGATGTGGGTTCCTGCCGTGGCTCCTCCTCGCCGGGCCCTCCCTCCCTCCTCAGGAAGCCTCAGGGAGTCCTCGCTGTGTTCACACGTTGCCTTGCTCCCGACAGCACCCCAGCAGACACTGTGTTACCGCCTCCCCATCCTGTAGATGAGCAAGTACCCTGAGAAGTCTCGGCGACGTGTCCTAAAGGTCAGGCCCAGATTTAACTCGCTGTGTGCCTGATTTCTAGTCACTTGCCTATATGGCCTCCTCCCCCGCCGCCGGGAGGAGACAGACCCATGCAGAGAACCACGGGGACATATTTCCAGATGTTTCCTAGGCCCAGGAGTTAGAGTGACGGGATCCTGCAGGGAGGCTGTTGCCATCCCCTAGGCCAGACATAGCATGGCTGGAGCCAGGCTGGGAACCTCACCGGTAGGGAGACACTGCTATGTTTTGGGGACTCTTGTAGCTTTAAATAGCATCTCTTCACCTATGGCTCCTAAACTTAACCTTTAGACAGGCTTTTCTTCTGAGTATCAGAGGTACACCTAACCCCTGCTTAGCATCTGGCTGTATGTCTTACTGCTGTTCCAGACACGCATGTCCAGAGAGAAGCTCTTCCTGCCTCTGCAGAACTGCCTCCTTTCTCGGTCAGTGGGTGGCCTCTCCATCTCTCTAGGTGCTCAGGTCAGAAACCTGGGAGTCACTTACAGTGCTATTTCTGCTGAGTTAGTGAGTGAACACATAGACAAGCACCTAGCAGCGTGATGACGTATATGTGCGTGTGTCTCTTTTGTTGGTGGGGCTTCTGTGCCAAAAGCAGTTTCTCCAATGAGTTCTCTAATTCTTTTGTGAATTAATTAAGCATGGCTTGGTGATGATAGTATTTCAGATTTGTTTGGTTTAACCTCTTTGAATAACACCAGCTAAGCTTTTATTGAACTTTAATTTCAACATTTTCTGTTAAAAAGCAGTAGGTGTTTTGGATATAGTTAGACTAGGAACAGTTTGATGTTAAATACTGGTTAATAACAATACCTCCATTCTCTGGTCACTCTGGATCAACTGGCCATGTCCATAAGCCCACATGGGATGGGGGTGACAGCTTGTGACACCTTTGGACAGCAGTCCTTGCCCCCCACCAGAAATCTTTGGTTAGGACCCTGCAAAAACCTCTCCTTTCTTGGCCACCCGTGGGTATTTGGGGATTAGGAACTCCAGGCTGGCGAATCAGCGAAAACTTGCCCAGGCGGGGTGAGGCTGGAAGGCTAATTACTGCCCCGTTTCTGGAGATAGATTCAGAGGCCAGTGGGGATTTCCAGGTTGAGGGAAGACATCATCTCCTGGGACTGAAGGGGAAGGAGCCCCCCGGGCTGCTGCTGCTTCGGTGACACAGCCGCCAGCCCAGCTGTCCGCTCACTGCTCACTTGCGGATCACCCACAGTAATGACATGGTAGCCAATGCCATCGGAAAATTCCGTCTCCGCTACCACAGAGTCAATTTCTTATTTGTCAGTTTATTGTGGCAAGTGGGACTTTTTGTTGTTGTTTCCAAATAGAAACAGCTGAACTTTATTTGCAGTGTTTTTCTTTCATTCTTTTTTGATCTGTGTTTTGATCAGCTGTCCTTGATGTGGCTTTTTTTAATGTTGTTTTTATTGGAGGGGGAGGGGATGGGGTAGAGTGAGAGTCCAAACAGGGTTTTGTTTCTTTCTGTTCTTTCTCTTTTCTTTCTTTTCCTTTTTTGCATTGAAAGACCTCATTTGTAAGTTTCACACACATGCGGAAATGTAAGAGTTTATAGGATTGATAAGCAAACAGTGTTTTTCCTTGTGACCCCGTAGCCTGGTATCAACAGCGTCGTTTCTGGGGCCAGGCAGGCCCAGATTCTGCCTCTTCTTGACCCCTAAGCACTTCACTTAGCCCCCTAGGTTTAGCCGCTTCATCTATAAATGGGACCTGCCCCACAGGGTTACAGCGGATGTAAGATGTCATGTTTGTAAATTGCCAAGCTTATGGTTTCTCGACAAATAGATGCTCTTGTACAGAGATCCTGTTATAGCTGTTAATCCCTAAGAGAAAGGTGACTTTTTGTCTGTTACTGTGCTGTAAGTCAGTGTGAAAACTCAGACAGTGATTATGATGATGATGATGACACCACAGAGCAGAACACAGTCCAGACACAGGTCCACACCTACGCAAATAGGTGCCAGTGTAGGTCAGCGAGAAAGGGACCATCCTTTCCATAAATGGTGTTAGACCAATTAAACATCCATAAGGGCCCCTGGTCGCATGGCTCAGTTGGTTAGAGCATCGTCCTGTACACCAAAAGGTGGCAGATTCGATTCCTGGTCAGGGCACATGCCCAGTAGGGGTGCATACCAGAGGCAACCAGTTGATGTCTCTCTCTCCCCCTCACTCTCTCTAAAATCAATAAAAACGTATCCTTGGGTGAGGATTTTTTTTTTTTTTTTAAATCCATAATGGGGAAAACTCACCACACTTAACCCTTTCACAGATGTTAATTCAAGGTGAATCATAGACCTCAACATAAAAGGTAAAACCAAAAAGCTTCTGTAAGGAATCAGAAGAATATGGCTATTATCTGAGGCTAGGCAGAGATTCCTGAAACAAAACATGAGAATTGTAACTGAAAAGCACTGACTATAAGAGGAGAAACTTTGAAAAGGCGATTGCATTCCATAAGCCTGACAAAGGCCTCCACCCATTGTGTACAAAGGACTACAAGACAGCAAGGGAAAGGCAGTTCAGGGTTTTAAAGTGGGCGGAAGACATAGGGTCCTTTACAGAAGAGGAAACGCAAATGGCTGGTCAACACGGGAAGAGCTCCACTCCGTCCGTCATCAGGGAAAGGCAACCCACGGCGAGGACCCCCCGGGACCGCGATGGCTGATGGAGGGACTGACAGTACCTGGGGTGACGGGACTTGAACACGTGTTTGGTGGAGATGTAACTTGGAATCATTCCTTTGGGAAACTTGTCTACTAAGTTAATATGGCAGTGTCTTCTGACACTAAACATGCACCTGCCCTGTGAGCCAGCAGGTCCACTCCCAGGTGTGTGCCCAAGAGGAATGCGCATGTATGTCCATCAGAGGACCCATGCAAGACCGTTCATAGCATTATTTATAATAGCCCCAAAGCAAAAACAAACCAGATATTTATTATTTATCAGTAGAACAGATAAATAAACTATGGTACGTTCACACCGTGGATACTGTGCAGCAGGAAAGAAGAATTGAACTGTGTGTAACGCACGGATGAGTCTCACTAACAGCACGCTGAGCGAAAGAAGCCAGAGTCAGAGCATATACACTATGCTTCCATTTGTATTGAGTTCAGGAGCAGGCAGAATTAATCTGTGGTGATGGAGGTCAGAATAGTGGTTCCCTTGGGGGAAGGGGAGGAGTGTGGATAGGGGTGCAAGGGAGCACCCAGGTGCTGGGCATGCTCTGAATCTTGATCTGGGTGAGGTTCTGGGGGTGTCCTGTGGATGTGTACGGATGAGAAAACTCGCCAGGATATGCACTCAGATGTGTGTGTTCTGTTGCCCCTCCCATTAACAATTTTAGAAACCATTTACGGAGTTATTTCTAAATGCCAAGTCCTGTGCACACATTGTTTTGCACAATTTTTTAACAACCTTTGCTGGGAACTATTAATTCCATTTTACAGATGAGAAAAGTAGAGCTCAGAGAGTTGGTTCCCTGACTAGCTGGCCCAAGTTCTCCCAGCCTGTGAGTGCCAGGGCCAGGATGCCAGTGGGTTCGTCCGATGCCAAGGCCGGTGCTTTGGTCCTGGTTCTGCTGTCTAGACCTCCACCCGGAGCTTCACTCACCCCCCTCAGTGTTTCTTCCACCTGTACGTTCTTGGGGGACACGTGCATATTTGGCTGTGTTGGATACAAAGTCTTCAGTGAATCCTGTTGAGCGTCTAGCACATCATTCCCACTCACTGCTCGGCTTTGACCTTGGGTACTGGTCAAGGTCGATCCCGGAGCCCTG